TGCTGGTGCTGCAAGGTGGAGGATTATCCCAGTGAGCCACAGCGCCGGCCAAGAATCTTAAACTCACCCCCAAATTCTAAGATATCTTATTTTTTTACCATTCATTCTCCCACTCTCTGAACTAATTATTCCAAACTTCCTTGTTCCCCATTCAAATCCATTACTCATCACACCCCTGTATACTCTCTACTCCTACCTATCTTCAACAGATGGAGTTGCCTCATCCTTCTTTATGGAAACAAGAGCCATCAGGTGGCTCCCTCAACTCCCCGCCACTAAGTGGAAAACACCCACGGAGCCTGCAAGTCTTGTCCTGCTTTCTGCTAAGAGAGAGCAGCTGTGCCTTCTTCCATCAAAGGTGCTTTGGGTTGTGCCCTTTGTAATAGCTCTCTTGCTTTCTCACCCCCACTCTCTCTTTCATCATAGATGCTTGCCATTCTTCATAATCGTTCTCCTTAGATGGCATGTTTTTTTTTTTCTTTGCTGCTCTTACAAACATTAGCAAAATTATCCGTGTCTTCCTTTGGGAAGACCCTCCTGACTTCTTTGGTGATGGGCTTCTCTCTAGCTTCCTCTGACTGCTCCAGCCACCCCTTCTTAGCCTCGGTTTTTGATCATTGTCCTTTATCTCAGCACCAAGGTGCTGGATTTGCTCAGTCCTCTGCCCCTATATAGTGGATATTCCCTCCCTACATAATTTCATTCAATCCCTGGCTTCTCACACTGTGCCCCTATGGTGGATGGTCCCTCCCTACATCATTTCTTTTAATCCCTGCCTCATCACACCATAAATTTATAAATATTCTTAAGTCCTTCTTATCCAATGGACTTTGTTTTGCTTTCATTGTTGGATATTTCACAGGTGTCTCACCTTCATCTGGAAGCCCACTACTGGATCCTTTATGTGCTCTTTCACCAATCCTTAGGGCATCATCCCCTCTTCCAGTAGCTCTCATGAAGTAGCAATGCCACCCAGTTGCTTACATCAAAAGTCCGAGCATCGTCATTCTGTAATTCTCCGTTTTCCCCCATCCACTATTCAGGGCATGACAGATCCTAGCATTGAGTGATCTTGAATTCACTCAGTGATTTATTTCTTTCTCTGTTGCTACCATATTTATTGGAAACATCTCCCCCTTGTCACTGGACTACAGTGCCTCTGGTGTCTTTATGTCTTACACACAGCAGGCAGCACAAGGCTGAATGTGATCGTTTTGCTAAAATCCCTCAGTTTCTTTCTTTAATATAACCAAATCATCTTACAGAGCCCAAAACCTCCATCATGGAAGTCAAGGCAACCGACATTCATCTCGTGGTTCTCCCCGCTTCCCACAGCAGACCTGAGCTGTATGGAGTAGCTCTTATGAATCCCTGCGCTTTCTCACCCAACCCCTCTGTTCCTTCCTCTTGGAGCTCTCCTTCCCACTGTTTTTACCATTCCTCAGACCCTACGTTAAATGCCACCTCGTCAGTTATGTCCTTGCTGAACACTTGGATTACAGAAGTTCCTCTGACTGAAATTGTTCCCAAGGGTGCTTTATTCCTTCACAGAACTTTTAAGAATAGACACGATTGTCTTCATTTTGTTGCTTATTATCTGTCTTCTCCTGCAGACTACTTCAGTTTCATGATTAAGAATACACATGCAGTAGGCATGATTCTACATCCAGCCCCAAGAATACTGCAGAGTGCACAGTAGGCAATTCATAAGTATTTTCTAGCAAATAGATGAATTCATAAATGAATAATGAATGGTGTAACCTAAATTTTTTTGCAAAATAAAGTCTTTTGCATTAAAACTTGTATCATTTTAAGAATAAATATGGTAGTTAGTTGTAAATGACAGAGTCCGCTCTACCTAGCATGCATTAATTTAATAATCTACAATTCAGAACCCTCCCCAGAGCCTGGAGAATCAGCCATGTGAGCATGATGGCCTAGAACAAACAAGTTGTGGATGAAGGGGCTTTGGGAAGGGCTCAATCAACCTAGCTGAAATACCACTTCACCTATTTCTCTCCATGTGGAATGGATCACACTGGCTACACACTATACTGTCCTGCATATCACTTGCTATTATTTTTTTTTGTTTAATTTTTGTGATTTTTTATTTTAAAATATTTAACAGACATATAAAATTGTACATATTGTGAGTACTGTGTGGTGCTTTGTTACATGTATGCATTGTGTAATGATCAACTGAGTTAAATATATTTATCTTTCCAAGCATTTAGCATTTCTTTATAGTGAAAACATCCAAAAAATCCTTATCTTCTAACTTTTTATAGAGGTCTATACAGAAATTAACATTGTCTATCTTCATCTGACTGTGTGATAGAACCCCAGAACTCCTTACTCCCAAGCAGTTACAAGCTAGTACCAATGGACCTTTCATAACCTTTCTCTCTATTTCCCTCTGCAGCCTCTAACTTCTATGATATCAGCTCCTCATTTTTAAAATACACATGTGAGTGAGAGTTTGTAATATCTGTCTTTGGGGGCTTGGCTTATTTCTTTTTTTTCTTTTTTTTGACAGGCAGAGTGGACAGTGAGAGAGAGAGACAGAGAGAAAGGTCTTCCTTTTGCCGTTGGTTCACTCTCCAATGGCCGCCGCGGCCTGTGCACTGCTGCCGGCACACCGCGCTGATCCGATGGCAGGAGCCAGGAGCCAGGTGCTTTTCCTGGTCTCCCATGGGGTGCAGGGCCCAAGCACCTGGGCCATCCTCCACTGCACTCCCGGGCCACAGCAGAGAGCTGGACTGGAAGAGGGGCAACCGGGACAGAATCCGGCACCCCGACCGGGACTAGAACCCGGTGTGCCGGCACCGCTAGGCGGAGGATTAGCCCAGTGAGCCGTGGCGCCGGCCGGGCTTGGCTTATTTCACTTGACATAGTGATCTTCAGTTCCATCCATGTTGTTACAAATGACAAGATTTCTCTTTTTAATGGCTGAGCAATATCCCACTGTGCATATGTGCCTCAGTTTTCTTATCCATTTATCAGCTGACAGGCACTTAGGTTGTTTTCCTTTTCCGGAATATTGTGAATAGTACGCAAGAAGCACAGGAGTGCAGGTGTACCTCTGACAGATTTCACGTCCGTTGGGTGTAGACCCAGAAATCAGATTGAAGGATCACATGATAGTTCTATTGTTGTAGTCTTCCTACTGCTTTTCACAATGGCTGTACTGATTCACATTCCCATTTTGTGTTCCCTTTTCTCCACATCCTCGCCAACGCTTGTTATCTTTTGCTTTTGTAGCAGCCAGTCTTACTAGAGTGAGATGATATCTCATTGCGTTTTCATCTACGTCTCTCTGATTACCAGTGATGATGAGTTTTCTTTTTCATGCACCTGTTGAGCTTTTGTATGACTTCCTTTGAGAAATGTGTGTTTACAACTATTGTCCATTTTAATTTGATTGTTTGGTCTTTTTTTGCATAAATCTTTCACTTTTTACTACAGATATTTTGACAAAAGTTTTGGCAATTTGTGAAAATCTTATTTATTCGCAGCTGTTACAAGTGTAGTGTGGTATTAGCAAGTGCATAGAGACAATAAAACATGGTTTTCATCTTGAAGGAACACTAATATCTAACAGAAAAAAGAAATGTTTAATGGGAGAGATTCAAGCACTTACATGTCTTTATTAGAGGAAAACAAAAATAATTGGACAATTTGTAACTTCTATTCCGAATGAAAACGTTATGTACTCTTTAGTCACATCCGAATTTTCAGTTAACTTCATCCTAGCTATCAAAATCCTTACTTCACTTTTCCACCTGCTTCAAGGCAGTGGGGCTCCCATCTTAATTTCCTCACTGATGGGTCAGAGGCCCTCATGGTTTGATTTTGTAAGAAGTTCCTGGGAACTCTTACTGCCTTCTTGCTTACTCTGCTTAGATGTGTCCTCTAAATGACTGCTGAACCCATCTCTAAAGCACAAATCTGGTGCTGTCATACTATTGACTCTAAAATGAACACAGGAAAGATCTAAAATCCTCCTTATGGCACCCAAAGCCTTTCTTGATGCCTCTTGCAAACTTTGTTGATGCAAAATCCTCTTGGATTTGCCTTGTTCCATGTGGGCTCATCAATATGAGTGATTTTCAAATGTTTGGTGAGTTTGCTTTTGCATTTTCATGCATAATATCACCAAGTGTACTTTATCGTCTTTTCACTGATAAATGTTCATAAATTTTCTATAGATGAATCCACATCTAATCTTCTTTGGAGGCCTTTGCTGACCTGTTGAAATTTGACTTGACCACTCCTTGGAATCGCCATCATAGCAAAATCTAAATCACACTGTATGGCATGTATTGGCTTAATATTTACCTCCAGAAGAACTACACACTGTGAAAATAGGGCCTTTTCTTGCTCTTTTCTCTCTGTTTTCCACCTGGTACATGCTGGTACATACTAAATATGCAATTTAGGTTAAACTCACTTGCACATTTTTGTAGGTCAGATATAAATGGGAACTTCACTATGAGAGATAGCTTTTTATGCTGCTGTCAGTATCTTTCACAGAGGAACCAACGAGCTTTAGGTCTTTTCTTTAGAATAGGTTTTGATTTGACGAGGCGAGAAAGTCAATTCAGCCCTGGAAAGACCTAAGGGAGGAGCATTGAATAGAAAGGCATGGAGATAGATGGTTCCAAAATGAATATAAAAATTTTTAAATGCACTGAAACTAGAGACTAATGAGAGGTACTTCTCATTTTCCAAATTGATACAAGTTTCAGTTAATGTAGTTGATGTCTTATTAACAATCCAGACACTCATTTTTATAACTGAAGATATATATATATAGATATATATATAATGAGTTTTGCAAAAATGTTTGCATCTTTCCCCAACCTCTAGAGCTTATACCAAGATAACCCAAAAAGTAGGGAGACAACTGAGTGCAAAAAATACCAACAAATCTTTTGGGGAAAAAGCAATTTCTGAGCAGTGATGCAGATTTTCTGTGTAATATTTTTTTTCCATTTCAGATCTCCAGTGTTGTATGAAATCCAGCATGATGGCCTCATAGACGCTGCCGATCCAGGTGTTCTCATCATACAGGTAAGTAGGAACGTGGTATGCTCTCTAGCTATGAGAACACTAAAATGTCGTGTCGACATTGAGAATTAGGTCCTGGTAGATAAAAGAAGGGTAAATGGATTTCCAAAGTCTGCCCATATTTTAGAAGTCAAACATAAATAGTTTCCAAATTTGCAGCTGTTGACTAACCACAACAAGGTCCTCACGTCCTACTAGGATGACCAAACCTGTATCACAAGGATGTGCCCTGGGACTATAGTTTATTAAACTGTTAAATGCCCTAAGGCATTTCCTGGTTTATAGACACCTATTATAGAAGTTATTCTGCCTTGAAAGTTTGAGAACTATAGTTCTATAACTTTGCTTTATATTAGAATTACCTGGGAACTTTTAACGAGGCTTGATGCCTGAGTTACTCTCTATAGCAATTACATCTGAAGGAAGAAGTTTAGACCAAGGAGTCATCATTCTCAGCCCCTAGCATGTGTTTCTAATATGCATCAAATGTAAGAACCACTTCTCACTTAGAGTGAAATGTGCAAGGCTAAGGGTCCTTTCTGCCTGTACTTGGAGGAGCTTGGGTACAGTGAGTTATCACAGCTCAGCACTGCAGAATTATCCTCAGGGATGCTTTGCATTGGCAAATCTTGCTCATGTCATTCCAACTGACAAAAACAAACAAACAAAAAAAATGAAAAGAAAAGAAGAAAAAAAACCACTCCTTTCAAATGGAAATAATTACTCTATGAAGAAAAATACTGCAAAGGCAGTATGCAATGCTGTGAATAGTGCCAAGCTCAGAGTCCAGAGAGCTGCGACATGTTCTCAAGAATCATTTTGATGACTCTGAACTGCGGTCTTCCTGTTGGAAATGCAGATGTGATGGTGCCAATCCTGCTGTGTATTTGCTGCTTAATTTTATTAAAAACTGACAGCTAGCATGGTCAAGCCATCATTGTATTTGTAATCAGAATTGAGAGAATAATTTTGAATCACCTATTTAAGTCTGGAATCAGATCTTCTTTAATATTTGTGGATTTCATATTTGTTTCTCTATTATTAAATATTTTTAAAACTCTCTGAGGCCAATCATGCAAAATATTCTGTTCTTTTTTCATCAAATAATTTTTCATTCCTAAATTGGTCTACATATCCTTTCATATTGGTACTTATTTCATCTCTTGTTGTTGAATATGAGGAGAGAGCCAAGGAGAACCTTCGTTGTCTAGATATGTGATGAAGTCCAGATCCATCTGCAAACCATTTAGAGTTCATGGGCAAATGAAGTAGGTCATAAAACACTAAGAAATCAAGTGGAAAAATAAACCACCAAGGTTGAAGTAGAAGCTCAGGTCTGAGCTCTCTCTTATCAGCCTTCACAATGCCTCCTCTGCTCGTCATGGCAACCACATGTGATGTGTGCTCTGAACGCCCAGGAAGAGCCCTGCAAAGAGGGAAGAACTGTGAAAAGCCTCCGCGGGGACGGCATTTGTGAGACATGGAAAACGTGGCCTGAAATGTACCCCGTGATCTAAGCCCACTGGTACGAATCAGCAGGTGTCAGGATCAACTAAGATCACGTGAGGCCAGCGACTCTTCATTTCCTTTGCTTCGGCACAGAAAATTCAAAGCTCTTGGATCTCCAAAGCAGGTCCTCGTCTTGGTGATGATTAAAGCCCTCAGCACACAGAAGGCCCTTTCTGTTTGCTCATATAAATGAGCAGTGTGTTTGTGTCAGAGCTTTAGCATATACATTCTCAGTGGAACATTTCTACTTAAAAAAAGCCTGTTTGATCAACAGAAAATAAGAGAAAGGACGCCTACCAAGTGAATGGGCACATTCTGAAGGTCATCTGTTGAGTTGCCATTCAGTGGTCGTGGGTTTCCTCTCTGCAAGATTGTTTAACGTTGTTAAACGTTGTTTAAACGATTTCAAGGGTGACATTTTGTGCAGCACAGACCTAGATTTGGTTTTTAAAATATTAGCAGAGTAGAAATTTGAGGACCAAAGGAACGTAGAGATTCCTCAAAAGCTTTTCCCTTGACCATTTATCCTTTGCATGGAACCTGGCAGCTCCTCTCACATTGATTTCAGCTGTCATGCGTGTGCCTCTCTAGGCAGTTTCTTGCTAGGGGCTGAATGCTCACAAAATCTAAACCACCTCCATGCTCTCTTCCTTAATCGGACAGAAGAGTGGGTGTGGAATTTGGTCCCTGAGCTGGATGGTTTCCCGAAGGGCATGGAGGACGTTGCAAACCCACATGCAATTTCTTTGGGTACTGAAGAGTGTCGATTGAGAGGAGGTCCAATTTAGCTGAGGTGAACCCCAGCCTGATGCCCTTCCCGTGTGTGTGTTTCACTGTGAATTCTCCTGCGTTCTTTACAATTGGCATTCAACGAGAAAACGATGCAATGCTGGGTAGAAGCCTCTCACAGGAACTTGGAGAGCATTACACATTCTTCTTGTGACAGTCTGTGGAACGAGCTACTTGCAAGTGTGCCCACAGGTCGCAGTGTGATTCTCTTTCATGTAGTAGAAAAGTCATAGTTTGTTAATTCCTTGAAAGAGAAGAAAAGATTAAGAATGTGTGTAAGCCGGCTCCGCGGCTCACTAGGCTAATCCTCCGCCTAGCGGCGCCGGCACCCCGGGTTCTAGTCCCGGTCGGGGCGCCGGATTCTGTCCCGGTTGCCCCTCTTCCAGGCCAGCTCTCTGCTATGGCCAGGGAGTGCAGTGGAGGATGGCCCAGGTGCTTGGGCCCTGCACCCCATGGGAGACCAGGAGAAGCACCTGGCTCCTGGCTCCTGCCATCGGATCAGCACAGTGCTCCGGCCACAGTACGCCGGCCGCAGCGGCCATTGGAGGGTGAACCAGTGGCGAAGGAAGACCTTTCTCTCTGCCTCTCTCTCTCTCACTGTCCACTCTGCCTGTTAAAAAAAAAATGTGTGTAGAAGACCGGCTGGCTATAGACTAAAAAGAGGAATCTGATAATGGTTCTTCCCCACCAGTCTTGAGAAAAGAGCAGATTGCATTTAGCTGATGCTGTTGGTTTCTTTATGAGGTTAAGCACCTGTGATAGTAGCCACTTCCAGCATGTCACCAGGTCTACAGAGAGCTGAGCTTAGAAATGAGGCTCATTTGCATCGTTTCTTTGTGTTGAGAATAAACCCTGAGTACCCATGCAAGGCTCCTGTCTTACAGCTCTAGTGCCCAAGCTTGGGGACAGCCTTGGTTTCCTGTTCCTGTGCCCTCTCTGTATGAACTTGAATGTGGTCTCTGCCCAACCCCACTCTTTGGGATGAATCCAGCTACACTCGTAAAGGCACTGGCCAGGCTGACCCTTCTGGAAGGACTGACCATTCAGCACATGAGTTAGCACTAGGCTTCCAGCTCTCTGCCCCTTAAAGTCCATCTCCCCTGGGGTCATGTCCTCCTGGGGCAAACTGCAACCAGATGAACAGGGTCAGGGTCAAGGTGCAGCCATTTCAGTACGACAGTGAGCATTGCCCAGAGCAGTGTTCCTCCCCAGAGTGATCACGAGGCTGTCTACTCTCAGTGGGGCTAGCCCACAGTCCCTCCCCCAACCTCGCTTTTCAGAGTGTGAATGCCTACCAGATCTTTACTCCAAACCAGCTTCAAAGCCAACTTCAGGAACGCAATTTATGATAGGCCCTTCTATTAGCAACTGTTTGTCAAAGCCCCATCTGGGTGTTTGTTCCTGCGTGAATCTTGGAAGGACTCTGATTTCAGCTGTGCACCACATAGTGAAGCTTCAGCCAGTACTGGACCACATAAGTGAGATCTGCAGTCCCCGTCGATGACTGCCCGAGACAATTTCCATGTAGCTGGAGATGACGCTTTCCGACTCTGATTCGCCCTTCCCTCCAGTGTTAGCAGTATCCACCTGCCTATGTGTTACAACTGTGCAGAAGAGAAACATCCCTATTCTACACACAAAGAAAACGTCCCCTTTCTCTTGTTTCTAAAACACGGGTTTTGGACGGTATTTTTCAGTCTTTGTCTGGAGTCCTGAATCTGACACGGAGCACTTGAGTAGCATTTTTTGTCCGAGCTTTTTCACCTCTGAAATGAAATGACAGCACATAAAACCTGTCTCTTTAGAGGGCTCATGTGACAAGCAGTGTTGCAATAGGAATGAAGAAATGTGCGCAAGCCCACCATCCATATGGAGGCATCTCACACTCGTGAGGGAGTGCGAGGAGGATGGCGGTGATTTTACAATTGCTGTGCAGTTGCTGGTTAGAGCTGGAGCTGTCCACGTTTTCTCTGCCGGTTCCATTTGTGGCTGGGGGCTGACGTTTACGGGACAGCCATGACAGGGTGCAGCTTTCTGCTGGGAACAGAGCTCTGCTGCAGCGCAGACGTAAGTGGCTCATGGGCTGATTGATCTCCTGACCTTGGACTCCTTGGCTTACCCCCTCCCCCACTGGGGGGAATCAGCTATAAGGAACCCTTTGTGAGTACAATTTCCTTTGCATTTCTGTGGTTCAGAGCTTCTAGTGTTCAGCTGTGTGTGTCCTCTGAAGCACCTACCCTTTGACCAACAGTTTCTATCCCTGTTTTAGCTAAAGGGTCAGCATGGGAGAAAAACATAGAAAGCCTGACCACACTTCTCAGTTGATAAGAGCAGGTAATAAAAGGAAGAAGTAGGGTGCTTCGAAACTCTGAAACAAATCATGCAAACCCACATCTCATCCCACAACAAAAGAAGAGAATTACGCCAGTTTTGGGGCCCAGGGAGTCTTCTCACCAAAGTCATAGAATTCTCCCTTTTCTTCATAAAAATCAAATTTACAAAGCTTTCTCACTTAATTTGACAACATAACCCTGCTCCCATTTTAGCTGAGCCATTCCACAGTGAGAGAAGCATTGAAAAGGAAACAGGAGGAGGGGATGTTGAGGGTGGTAGTTTCTCCTATTTCTATAAAACCAAGATTTGGGGTCAGCATGGTGGCATAGTGGGTTAACCTGCTGTCTGCAACATTGGCATCCCATATGAGTGCTGGTTCAAGTCCCAGCTACACCACTTCCAATCCAGCTTCCAGCTGATATGCCTGGGAAAACAGTGGAAGATGGTGCAAATGCTTGGGCCCCTGCACACACTTGGGAGACACAGAAGAAGCTCTGGCTCCTGGCTTCAGCCTGACCCAGCCCTGGCTGTTGCAGACACCTGGGAACTGAACAAACAATTGGAAAATCTCTCTCTCTCTCTCTCTCTCTCTCTCTCTCTCTCCCCCTCTCCCTCTCTCTCTCCCTCTTTCCCCTATCTATCTCTATCTCTCTATATCTCTATCTCTCTATCACTATATCTCTATCTCTATCTCTTTGTCTTTCAAACAAACTTTTTTTAAAAAAATAAGAAAAGATGATATCCCCTTTGACAAGTACACTGGAGGGGTATCCTGCATTGGTGCTCCAGGAAAACAATCGGGAGAATGTCCTTGTGCCGCCCCAAATATCAGCATTCCTGTTGCTTTTCCAGAAGGTGGGAGTGGAGGACTGCAAACAGTAATCTGATCCTGATGCATGTCTGGACTCCCCTCCCCCTGGTACAGCAGTGCAGAGAGCACTTTATAAAGGTGAGATTGGAAGAGCCAGGGATAGAAGGACCCTCCTGGTTGCCAATGAGCTTTGATTCTGGATGGATTTCTCTGAGCATGCAGGAGTCACCATCAACAATTCCTTTCTCATTAGGTGATCCTGGGAGAAGGCCATGCTGTTCCAGGCCCCTCCTTCCCCCCCGCCGAGTTTTCCTCTCCAGCATCCTCAGGACAAAGCTCTCCTTCCTTTTGCATCATGAAGGACACAACAATAAAATTACAATCAATGTAAAGTATTAGAAAGTTGAAATGAAAAATAAAAGCCAAAGCACAAGACCCATCGTCATCATTGGTAGCAGCAGCAGCAGCACACCCATAATATTCAAGATGAATAAAATTATTCTGTCAACTCTGTGTCTGGATTTACTGCATGGAGAACCAGCTACAACCAGTTGGCTCATAGCCATGGGTCCTGGCTGTGCTCTCTGCCACCACTAACTTGACTCTGGGCACTTGCCTTCTATCACATGTCTGCCTCTTCCTCCCTGGCACCCTTAGTCTTTAAGGGGCTTGGTGGGTGCAGGAAGGGACGGAGACACATTGGCCAGTGAGCAGCGAATGGATGACTCAGAATGGGTGAGGGTCAGGTGACACAGAATCACCAGGGACCAGAACAGCAACATGGAGGAACTTCTCCTGAGAGCTCAGATGCCAAGGTGAGCGTCCCCTTGCCTGGAATATGGAAATCTTGATGAGTTTAAAAGTGTTTTTCTGACTATGAATTTATTATGTACTGTTGCAGGAAATGTAGACAAACACAGACAATTGTAAATAAAAACTTCTTACCAGAGTATGAACAAAAGACATAAAATATGCCTGAAGAATTCTCCTTTTAGCCTCTAACTCCATAATGTTTCAAAGCACTAGGTTCCATACTTAGAATATACTGTTTTTTCAGCTTCTTCATTTAAATCTATAAAATGTATGGTCCCTCTTGTTATAAGTCAATATTTATAATGGTATTTTAAAGGGCTATGTCTTGTTGTATTTACCTATGAATCCCAAATTACATAATTGTTATATGACATTTGTGACACTGGAGTGATTTCTGATTGGTCTGCCAATATAAACAGCAGGGCATTACTATTTTTGTGTTTATAGAACTTGTGTGCTCCTTAGGTTTATCCCCTCTATTTATCCTTTGCCAGCTACAAGTATTTTACTCTCATTTTCCTAATGGGACAACTCCTGTTTATCCTCTTGTTGTGTATATATTCCATATTTGTTAAAAATAAAAAGCAAACACCATTACTCAGTCAGATGGCTCCCTACCATTTCGCTCAAAGACCACTGTTCTTCAGGGTTAGCATCCTCATTTGAATTTATTGTCAGCATGTGTATGTGTGTTTCTTTTTTAAATTGAGGCAGTTGCTTCATTTAGTAGAAAGATAACCAATTGAGAAAAAGAGCTGAGCCCAATCCTACATTCTGACTCTTCCAGCCGCCCAGGACAACGTTTTCAACCCTCTGAGTAGCGTGAACTTGTCCTTTACTTTGGAATAGGACCTTCCAGTATGCACTCCCTTTTGTTTTGAGCTGATCTGCAGCCTCAACATTCGGTTTCTACTTCAGGACCAAGACTGCTGCTCCAGCACTTCTGCATTCCCACAGGGACATGGATGGGTGGTAAAATACAAAAGGAGGGAATGGCTTGCATGTTGCATGTGTTTTTGTTGCAATTGCCCCATTGACGATATCCTTTTTAAGTTGTGTATTTATTTTCTTTGTATTTGAAAGGGAGAGAGGGGGGCCGTCACTGTGGCATAACAGGTGAATCTGCCACCTGCAGTGCTGGCATCCCGTATGGGTGCTGGTTCAAGTCCTGGTTGTTCCACTCCCAATCCAGCTCTCTGCTATGGCGGGGGAAAGCAGTAAAAGATGGACCAAGTCCTTGGGACCCTGTACCCATGTGAGAGACCTAGAAGAAGCTCCTGGCTCTTGGCTTCAGATCAGCACAGCTCTGGCTGTTGTGGCCAGTTAGGGAATGAACCAGCAGATAGAAGATCTCTCTCTCTTTGTCTCTCTGTCTCTGTCTCTCTCTCTCTCTCTGCCTCTCCTTCTCTCTGTGTAACCCTGACTTTTTTTAAATTTTTTTTTTCTTTTTTGACAGGCAGAGTGGACAGTGAGAGAGTGAGACAGAGAAAAAGCTCTTCCTTTTGCTGTTGGTTCACCCTCCAATGGCCAGCACACTGCGGCCAGTGCGCCGCGCTGATCTGAAGGCAGGAGCCAGGTGCTTCTCCTGGTCTCCCATGGGGTGCAGGGCCCAAGCACTTGGGCCATCCTCCACTGCACTCCCTGGCCACAGCAGAGAGCTGGCCTGGAAGAGGGGCAACCGGGACAGAATCCGGCACCCCGACTGGGACTAGAACCCGGTGTGCCAGCGCCGCAAGGTAGAGGATTAGCCTAGTGAGCCGCAGCACCGGCTTAACTCTGACTTTAAAATAAATAAGCAAATCTTAAAAAAAAAGAAAGGGAGAGAGGGAGAGAGATATATCTTTCATCTACTGGTTCATTCTTCAGAAGCCTGCAATAGCCTTCTCAGGGCCAAGCAAAAGCAAGGAACCAAGAACTCCATCCAGGTCTCTGATACGGGTGGCAGGTATCCATGAACCTGAACCATCATCTGCTGCCTCCCAGGCATGCGTTAGCAGGGAGTGGGGATAGGAAGCACAGGATCAGGATTTGAACAAGTCACTGATATGTGGTGCAAGCTTCCGAAGAGTCCACTTAGCTGCTGACCACAACTCCTGGTCCCATGTCTAGTGGATTCTGCCATTTAACTTGGATAGATATTTGGAGACATGTGGAATGTCTACTCCAGTCTATCTCTCAGCCACCCAAATATCTACACTTATCCTTCTTCTGCATAGAATAGTCTCACTGTCTCCCTTAAAGCCCAGCCAATCAATCACTTTATTCAGTTCTCAACCTCTGGTTCAAATGTGGCTTCTCACAGCCCACCCAGCTACACAGTAAACTACAAGAGGTGTACAGTTCACACCAGTGTACCTGGTAGATGAGGACAGCTACAGTATAAAATATCTTTGAGATGGGAAAATGTTGAGACCCACACACAGCTATCATTTTCCATAGCAGCATCAAGCTATGCTGAGCCAGACTGCGATACCTCTCCTGGCCTAGAGTGAGCCCAGGGAGAACACCTGTGAGGGCCTGGACTTCTCCGGAAGAGCTGAAGTTTCTTCCACCCTCGGTTGCCCCAGCTCTGACCTTAGGGAGTGTCCTCATTTTCTATTTTCCTTTCAATGGAGGGGAGTCCCTACCCAGGGACTTCTCAATTCCCCACCAGCTGGAGTCCCTGGGCAGTGTGGATGTGGCATTAGGGTTTTTAAAGTTGGGATTGTGGTGTCGTTGATATATTTTTTCCTCAAAAAGTTTGGTAATCATATTAGGGATCTAGGACTGCTTAGAACAAAATACTTCAAACTGGGCAGCTGAAAACAAATAATAGAAATGAACTGTCTCACACTTCTGGAGGCCAGATTCCACAGATCAAGGAGTAACAGAGCCATGCCCCCTCTGAAGGTGAGAGGGCCGGGGGTGATCCACGCCCCTCTTCTGCTGCTGGTCATTGCTTGACTGGAGCAGTGTATGTGCAGCCCTCATGGGGCATTCTCTGTGTGCTTGGTTCCAATCCACCCCCTTTTTTTTTTATAAGGATGCAAGTCAATTTGGATTAGGGCCCACTGTACTTGATGTGACCTCGCCTTAAATTACATCCGCAGAAGTCCTGTTTCTTCATAATGACACATTCTGAAATATCCAGGATTAGAACTTCAGCATATTAATTTTGAAGACAGAAGGGCGTGATTCAGTCTATAGCTGTAGGCTTCCAGGAGTTCCTTCTGAAAGCTACCACGTGAACACACTCCAGCCTACTGCTGCTCAAAGCTGGATTCTGCCTCCCCAGTTTCAAGAATAATGGCCTCAGAACTTCTGGAACAACAGACTCGAATGTTTTTGTTTGCTGTATTTCATGTGCATGCAGATCAGCTCGATTTTACGTGGATTCATCTCTTACACAACTCTGCTGAAAGCACCAGGCACACGGGGACTTCCGGGACAAGGCTGCTCCTTCTTGTGGCTCTGCACCCCCTCACGTGGATCTTACCTTGTTGTGTAGCACTCCTAAGCGTTCCACATTCCAGGCGGCACCAGGAGGGGCCAGTTCAGGAGAGGACATGCACGTTCTCTTGGAAGAGTGATCCCAAGGTCACAGGCTCCTTCCGTTCTCATCTCAGTGCTCAAGACCTCCTCATCTGACTGTGTGCCCAGATGAATGTTGTCTTGCTGCATACGCAGGAAAGATGGATCTGGGGTAGAATTCATAGCCTCTGTCACAAATAACTATTTAATGCTCAGGTTTTAAGACCTCTTGTATAAAAAACACAAATTAAAGGATGAGGAGGATGGATGGGGTGACGAGAGGTCTCCTTGGTGCACAGCCAGGATGCACAGCTTCAAGTCTGAACTCTCTCCCGAGTGTATCTCCTGGGGCAAATATTTGCTTTTCTGGTGTCTTTCTTCACTTGAATAATGAAGGAGTTGGAGGATGTGAGTATTTTCCAAACGGAGTTCAATAGCAGAGGAGACTGAAGACTGTAAAGATAGCGAGAGTTATTTTGTGATGAAGAGTCTGTACACAACATCGGAAGTGATCACCTTCTAGAGACTCCTGTATCAATATAAGACTCTGCTAATGGTTCCATAGTTTCTAGTGGATCATGTGTTTGTGGCTCGGTCACAGAAGAGCCCACTAACTCTCTGCTAACATCACCTACAGCTCATGTGGGGACAGTGTCCCACGTGGTCTCTGAAAGTCCTCCTTGACCGAAGCTTCTGTGATGCTGATGTGCACATCCAGCTCTGGCCTCCCTTCAACATCTGCTGAACTAGTTACTAAATCCACTTATAGACTCCTGTTCCTGAAATCCTGCTAAGGAATCTTATTACAAAAGCCCTCTAAAGGTTTCCGCGCTGTGATGCAGTAGGCTAAGCCTCTGGCTGGGGTGCCAGCATCCCATATGCATGCCAGTTCTAGTCCCGGCTGCTCCACTTCCGATCCAGCTCTCTGCTAGGGCCTGGGAGAGCAGTGGAGGATGGCCCAAGTGCTGGGGCCACTGCTCTTGCATGGGAGACCTGGAAGAAGCTCCTGGCTCCTGGCTTTAGATCTGCCCAGCTCCAGCTACTGCAGCCATTTGGGAAGTAAACCAGTGGATGGAAGACCTTTCTGTCTCTCCCTCTCTGTGACTGTAACTCTACCTCTCAAATAAATAAACAAAATCTTAAAAAAAAAACCTTTAAATAAGACTAACTATTGACAACAGGTATTGAAATGGAAAAATGGGATCTGTGAATTCGTCTGTTAGAC